TTCATATTTTTTCCATAGTTAAGATCATTTTGAATGAAATTGTATATCACTTTTCTGCTTCTTCTGATTTTTTTTGATATTTGAGTTACAGACAGGTCAGAATCAATGAAGATTTTTATTTTGACCTGTTCTTTGTTGGTTAAAGCATTACCACGACCCATTATTAATTTAAATCGTCACACTGTATTTAAAACTCACAAATAAATAAAAAAAACTTAATATTGTGGTGAGCTGCTACTCATAAATTAAATTGGAAACCAAATGTGCTATTCAAGTGAAACGAAATACATACTAGTTATTGATGCAAATTCAAAAGAAAATAATAGGAAAATTTAACGGTACATTTCTGTAGTACTAATTTTTTTTGGAAGAGACTACATAAGGAAACAAACAAAAAAACCGAACAATTATTACAACAAAGTCATGAGATCATTGATAGATAAGCAAATAATAATGCAAAAACGAAGTGTGCTATTCAAGTGAAACGGAGTGTATATGACACAGCTATATTCTCCATAAATTTATATACCATATTGTTTAGTATTGGTTATAATTATGTTAAAAATCTTGATCATAAAGAAAATAAATGGCAACTAATTGACTGAATGACACACCTAGCACAGCCCATTCATTATATCATATGAATAAATTAAATATTGAATTATATATTAAGGTCGTATGCGAGTTCGAGTAAATTGAGGTAAAGTAAAAGTTTTGAAATTTATTTATTTATTAAATAATAAATACATAAATAAAACATCTTATAAAATTTTCACAATGGTAACACCCAATTTACCTAATTTTTTTCTAATTTAACCTACTTGAAATTCTGATAAATACCAACATTCTCTGCCATTCCGATATAATTTGCTATTTTCCTCAATTTACCATCAATTTACTCGAACTCGCACACGGACTTAATTGATTTTCAACCTCCCTTGACTTTCGGCTAAAGAAACTAAATTTTAATTATAAACTATTGTTTATAATAAAGAAATAAATGTACAGTAAATATTCAAATTCAGGTAACCACAAGGCTGATGCAAGAATAACTTGAAAAACTGAACCTGCTCAGCGAATTAAATTAGGTGTCTATTCTCTCAGTACCGGGAAATACTAGTGTACGCGGATGTGAATACGTAGACAAACTAGCCAGGAAAGAAACAACCACACCGCTGATAGGATCAGTACCTTTCTGTGGACTAGGTCACAGTACGCACTTTCTACCCTTTCTCTAATAAAAATGAAGGAAAATTGAAAAAAAAAACGATTACTGTGATAATCTTGCAGGATTAGCACAATACAAATCATTTATTGGTGCCTACGACAATAGGAGATACTAGAAATATATGGACTTAGAATCATCACCGGAATCAGGTCACTGTAAACGAAAATATGGTATCACCTTACGAGACTAAGCATATATACAGATGCAAACTGTAAATTCTGCGAAGAGAATGAAGAGTCAGCCACATTATGCTATTAGAATGCCATGCGCTAACGCATATCCTTACGGAAGAGACAATAAAACTCTGGAAAGTAGGTTCTATACTAATTTTTATTGATGCAACAGGGCTTAGAGATTTACTCTAAACGCAGAAGGGGGCATAGTAGACCCGATGGTCGCAGTGCCACATTCAGTCTTAATAATAAATAAGTTGTTTATAATAGAGAGGTTTTTATTGAGCAGTAGTGATATTGCAAAAACTACAATTTATTTTTATTATTTTTAATTAATTGCATTTTTGCCTGAGTATACAGCTAAATACCCGAGTATTGCCAAATACTCGTCAACAGTGATCGTGGAATTATTTCTTGTATTTAATTATTTGTAATTAATTTTCTGAAATTGCAAGCACCAAATGTCGAAGCTCAAAGTCCTTGTTCAGTAGCCAATATTTATTCACAGTATCCTTACCATAAACCGCAGAAATTTTCTCAGCACGTTTTCCAGTAATTTCAACTTATTTAAGTAATAAAGCATTACATTGAGTATTTAGTCAGATGTTTTACTAATCAATATAACTTTTAACACAAGCGACGAATTTCACAACTAATTTCACAAAAAAATTGTGGCTTAAAATGTCACTTTTCAAAGACATGAAATGGACCACCTATGGTATATACTATATATATATATATTTATATACTTCTTCTTGTAAGTCATATAAGATCATGATTTTCGTGTTTAATGTATTATTTTCATTTAGGAATTATTTCAGTGAGAGTTTCGTTTTCATATGGATGATCTTTTTTCGGTAGTATTCGTTAAATCATAGACTTTTCTATGTACCAAATGAATAGTCAATGAAAGAATTTTATAATTCGTTAAAGAGAACACCTGTTAAATAGGGTAATTCATTATATTAGATATCTACTCTATTTATAACCCAATTAAAGTAACTCTTTCCATTTCTGTTCCTGATTGTTGGCTACAACAACATTGAGAAACATCCTTGTTTATCAGTTGATATCAGTCGAAATAAAGGATATTCCGATATTGGAAAAATGTTATAAATTACAAGTAAATTATATCAAAAATATTTTTGAAAGAACATTTACACAAATTTATTTTTTCTGTACCCGGCCGTGGAGACTTGGCAGTTTTGAAGTCTCCAATAACATGTTATTAACAATAACATGTTGACTTGTCATGTTAGAGAGATCTTAAGAAATATTGTGTTTTAAAAACAAATGTGGTCATGAGATTTAAAATAATGTGGTAAAGGAGTTGGGAAAATTAAAAATTGATGTCTCGGTGAAACGAAGAATTGATTGAGCTTAAATATATGTGCGCAATGGGACATATAGATAATTGAAAGTCATAATGTCACGTTAAGTTCTAGTTTTAGGCACAAGTCAAAAATATATTCATTTATTAACTTATATAAAAATGCCAAGCATATTTCAATACTCTGGCCTTAGTTGATCCGGAATGGTAACGCTTTCTTATACAGTTGTATTATTTCCTGAGAAATAATAGACGGAAAGCTTTTTGAAACTATGTTACTGCGAAAGTGAGATCTTGAAGATGTTACTGCATCTATTATAGAATCGAAACTTCTGGTTGTAGCCGACGTCGGAAATCGTTTCCGCATTGCGTTATGATAGATTCAGAGAATGCAAATAACTTTACTCGTTGATGTGTCATTTTGATATTCATCTTTATATTTAAGTATATTAAAAGTTCATATACTTTAAATTCTAAACCATTATTGCAATATATAATTATGAGTGAATGTTTTTTTCGGTAAGAGCAACGTAGTAAATATTAAAAATAAACCACAATCCGCAATCTGTTTGGCTTTTTTTTCTTAGTTTCCTAAAACGTATCTTTTTCGCAAAAGTTTAAACATAAAAGAAGTTATGCTTTATTTTTATCGGATCTATAAATGTAGATGAAAGCATAGTTAAGCCTTCGTCGTCTTTGAAACGAGGAATGTGGCTAAGTATTCTAACCACGATAATCTACATTCTAATTTCATCGGTAGGAAAAGGTATCCATTATTTTTCCAATAGATGGCTTTAGTTATTCGTATCCCACGTTGTATAAGTCCGATCGAGTTTCTGTGATAAATTCAAAAACGCAAGTCTGAAAATGTGAATAGTGTTAATGGTCCTGACACTAATGGCGATCCTACCAATCATGCGCAATGTTGGTTTCGTCGATTTCGTACCAGTTTCGATCCCAAAGATGCACCACGCACTGTCGAAAATTGTGGAAATTGTCGAATCCGACCCTCTCGAATCATGTAAGCACAATTTTGGTTGCCCAAGAGCTAACGATTGAAAGAACAGTTTGGAGTCTATAGAATAAGGGTGGAAGATGTAGGGATGCTACACGAATTAACGCAAAAAACTTCATAAACTGAATTTCCAACTGCGAATCGCTGCTGAATCGTAACAAAATCCACCCGTTCCTGAAGCGATAGGTGACTGCTGATAAAAAGTGGTGACTGATCACTTAAGACAACATCAAGCGAAAACGGTCGTAATCGAATCGCGATAAGCTGATTGAAACAGTTTATCTACTATTAGCTGCTTCCCTACGATAAAACTCTTAACTCGGAACTGTACTGCCAACAATTGGACCATTTGAAAAAAGCAATCTCACAGATTGACCAGCTGTGGGCAATAGGAGTATAATTGTGTTCCATCAGGACAACGCCACGCTATCATAATAACAATCGACGCCAAAGCTCCTGGAGCTTGGTTGGGGCATCCATGTTATAGTCCAGAGCTGACACCAAGTGATAACCATCTGTTCCTGTCAATGGCCCAAGATTTTTCTAATAAAAAATTCACTTCAAAAGAGGATTGTGAAAATCAACTGTCTTAATTTTTTGTCAATAGGGACGAGAACTTCTATGAGAGAGGCATAATGAAATTACCTTCAAAATGGCAACAAAGAGCGCATCGGTTAAAATGACATATATTTGACGTAAATCGGATCATTCTAACTATGATAATGTAGCCTTCAATTTCATGCAAAAATAATGGAATTCATGTTACTACACCAATTATTTAGTTGGGCGAAAATTAAATCGTCCAATTTTGTCATCCCAATATTGATCATTTTGTGCGACCACAGTCCATCTTACGAATGGAAATAGATCCAGGCGCTATTTACTCTACTGTACTAATGTCAATTTAAGATCAGCAAGAGAGTGCGAGTGCTGCTGATGTTAGAAATCGAAATAAACGATAATCTAATGATGTAAAGTCATGACTACACGTTAGTTGATTTTTGGGCATATTAATCTTGCATAAAAGCATAAAGCAAAATTTAAAATAAATCAAGTAAAATATAAAAAATTAATATCTAAGACATATAAACAATTACTAAAAAATATTAATATTAATTCAATTTAGTCAACACTAATAGTAACACATCATCAACACACCAACTTTAAATAACACAAAAAAAAATTAAACAAATATCTAAACAAAAATGTGTAAAAGCCAATTAATTTTATTTCGTACACAAACAAATTATATATGTATATATAAATAAGCGTAAAATTTAAATAAATAAAAAAAAGCTGTATATTTATAATTCTATGTATCGTTTTTGGAATCGTCCTTGTATTTCGTATTCGTACTATTTGACGTCGTTGATGTGGCAAATAAATTCGAATTCCCGCTCATACGTTCAGCAAAGCGTTTAAAAATATTTGTACCAAAATTTAAATTTGTACTATTATGGTTTGAGGTCCTAAGCAGCGAAGCAGCAGATGCGCTGGCAGAGGAATCCCCTAAAGATTCATCATCTGTTAGTTGTGTTATGGATGTGTTCGTATGTGTGTTGACCGAGTGATTACTACCAAATTGTTTTGTAAAACTGCGGCTTAAGCGATTCTGGTTATTAGAAACAGAATTGGATTGTGAAGAATAGGATTGATCTAGAGTGGCTGTAGGACGATCACAAATGCAACGAAACTTTTCACAATGAGGACACAAAAGTGCTTTATCCAACTGAAAGATAACATATAGAAAAGATTTGTTGCTAATGCAGTTAAGTTTTAAAATAATGAATTTAAAGTGCAGGAAGTAGGTACCGAAATGTCTATGCATGTTCAAACATGTTTGAAAGTTTGGCTTATAAATTAATGGAAAGTAATGTTAAGTGCAAGCATAAAAGTTTATGAAATAGCAATGCAGGAAAATGATTGAAGTTTAAACTATATGACCTTATGACCATTTATAATAAAGATATATGGAAGTAAATTTTAGTTAATTTTTAAAATATTTGTATGCATTTTTTATATTTTCCCAAAAATGTTACAATATTCCAACAATAGTTTAAATATAAATATAATTATATGTGCGAGGGCGGTTTGATAAATCAGTGATTTTTTTCGGCAAATGAACATTTTATTTTTCTACATAATCATCTTTTAGCTCGACACATTTAGTCCAGCGTATTTCTAATTTTGTTATTCCCTCCAAATAATAGGTTTTCTCAAAGCTCTCAAAATACGCGTTTGTTTCGGTAATGACTTCTTCATTCGACTCAAATCTCTTACCGCCCAGCCATTTCATTAGGTTTGGAAACAGAAAATAATCACAGGGGGCTAAATCTGAAGAATATGCTGGATGGAGCAGCAGTTCGTATCCCAATTCGTGGATTTTCGTAAAAATTCACGAGGTCATCTGCTTTGAACGGCTATCAAACACCAACTTAACGACGTAGCTTGGTCAAAATTAAAAAGTTGCCCACTGGTAGATAAGACGGGAAATTCAAAAAGTCACTGACTTATCAAACCGCCTTTGTATACACAAATATATACGTATTTGCTCATTAAAATACCCGAGAAATTCAAGTATGCTCGCCTTCAAACATTTAAATCAAATTCCGAACTATATCTTTAAGATGTTTGAACATGTTGGAACTATTCGAACTGCTAATCTGCTATATCTTCCATTTTATTTTTATTTTACTTTTATAAATCGGTATCACCGCAAATAACCATACACAATACAATCTTCGAGTGTTTGCAAATAGTTAGCTTTGTTCGTTTCAAATATTCGAACAACAAAATACTTGAAGCTTAGAGCAGTTCGAAAAATATTTGATACATTTAAATTAATATTGTGTATTTAAACTGATAATGATTAGGATATTTTAAGTGCTGAATTTAATATATTGGTTGGCATAAATTAAACATGGCTTTCCCAAGTTTCCATGAAATCTAAAAGCATTCATATATAGTAACAGATATAAGAGCAGCGTTTTATTTTTAAACGCATATTTATCAAATTAGTGCCCTAGCTAGAAAAATGTTTGATTCAGTAACCGCAGGTGGAAGACGCGGTAGAGTACGTCCGCAATTTTGGTGAAAGGACCAGGTGACCAACGATTTGGAGGCGCTCGGTACTACCAAATGGTGTCAGCAAGCTACTAATCGGACTGACTGGCGGAGGCTATTCGACGCGGCCAAGGACGACTCACGTCTGCAATGAGCAACTGAGTAGGTAAGTAAGTCAAATAAGACTAAAAACCTGTGCAGTTTAAAATTATAAGAATTTAAATTGTTTTATATTTGCCATCGTCCATACAAAAATTGAATATATTTTTCTGTATATGCTTATACGGACATGACGCATATGACATATAGCTTTATGATATATCTCCATAAAATAATCAAACGAACGAATATATACATGTGCTTAAAATAAAACACACTTTTATGTCTTGCTTTCATCAAGGATTAAGATATAAATTCTCAGCAGCATTTATTAGAGCAATTAAATCTGTGAATGCAAATGTGAATTTAATTTTTTTTCTTGATGTACCCTTCATACACAAAATTATAAAGCAATTAAATAAATAATTAAGTTAAAACATTTAGTTCAGTTTACTATTTCTCATTACGCACTATTAACTTTTATTTGAAGAGGAAGTCGTGCTTTTCAGAATTGTTTATTCATTGACCACTGCACTCCTTTTGGTGGTCATTCTGTTCAGCGTATGAAGAACGTTAAACCTTGGTATCACAATGGTCCATTATTTGACCTTAAGTGAATTTTGCTCTACAAGACCGCCTCTTTAATCTAACCTAAACTAAGTAAATTTCATACAACACAAGACAGCATAGTTGTTGTTGCAAAATGAAGATTATTTTTCGAGTATAAATAGATTTGAATAGTTACTTTATTGTGTCTGTGCTTCTTCACACAGATTAAATGATATACACGAATGAAATAGTTGGTGACTAAATATTTGAATAAAGTCCGTTTACATAAATTTTTAATAGCAAAAAAATGAAACTATGAATTACAACTACAATATATTCATGGGGGTAGCCAAGTAATTAATCATGACGGAGGAAGTAATATTTTAACATAGAAAAAGAGTGCATTAGTTCTGCGACCTCCCAAATAAGATAGATCAATAATAAAGGACACGTGCAAGTGCAGTTATCTGTAACAATTGAAGCCAGATAGGGAAGCAAAGGGAAGAGAGTGTGATGTGAGTTCATGAATTTCACGCAATGAAATTTGCTGCGTTTCTTCAGCTTGACACGCATACATATGCAATGTTATGTTTATGTTTACCTTTTAATGTTGAATACTCTGAATTTCTGTGCTCTGCACTACTACACACAAGCATTTTATACGTTTACAGAAAACAAAACAAATTTCACACTCATGAGAGTTCATGACAGTTTAAACTGAATTGAAAGGTCATGTTGTCGTCAAGTTCATCTCACGTTCATGATAATATAAATAAGCCAACACACTTATTTCAACTTTGTTGCTAAATGTGTGCACTACAAAATATCTTAAGGAAAATCCCATTTAGTTTAGCATGAAATTAGAACTCGCACACGCACTTAATAACCATTTCTTCCAATGACTGCATAATCACTGCGTTTGATTCGCAAGCTATCTTATTGAGACTATACCCAATTCAAACTATATCAGATAATTTTCCTTAACTACTTAACTATCTGCAGCTGTTATTGTTGAACATAGGTTTGTTGTTTTCAAACCCTGTTACAAAATTCGAGTTTTTTAGGATTTCACTCAATAATTTTTGTTTGATGAATCTCGTTCTAATTCATTTCCAATAATTTAAAGCTGTTGCAGTCAGTTTATGTTACTTATTATACATCATATATATATAGCGGGTTTCTGTATTTGAACGTATTTGAAAACACAGAGGCTATATCTAAATTATAAAATTATTTATTGTGTTCTGCTTATTTTCTTAATCAGAAAACTGAAAACTTCTTCTTGGAAAATAATTTTCTTTCTAAATTTTTACAAGTTTTGTGTTGTCAATATATTTAAATTATAATCCAGTTTACTGTGATTATCGAGAATATCGACAGCTACATATATTATAACTGGCTATAGAATTTCTTATTTCTAAACCTAATTTTATAATATTCTAACAAATCGTTACTTCACGGTCAAGACAATGATGGTAATTTATTTCAAATTAAGTTGTCGTTTTATTCGATTTGCCAAGATAGCTTGCGAATTGAACGAGCAAAAGGTAAAAGTAATATGTTAAATGAAACTTTCATTGCAATAGACTTTCTTATTATTATTTTTTCTTCTTATTAGTTCTTATAAAGGCTAATTCTTCAAATCTGCCCGTTTTCTCTTAACTGTTAAGTTTCTTCATTTCAATAACCTTTCTTCTTTTTTTTGCTATTATTTTTTATAAATTCAAAATCTTGCTACCTTCCCCTGATCCGCTTCTAAACTACTACCACGGATAAGTTTAAAAAGAAATTCTAACACTATTTATATCTTTTATATTATTTATTATGACTTCACTAGTTTTTACTTAAAAGCAGTTGAGCAAGTTTAGGAACTACAATAAAAATTTTTATATTTTGATGTTAAAGAATTTAAATATGAATGACAAACTTTGGTTAGTCACAATTTTATGTTAGCACACACAGTATATATATATAACAAAAATATATGTTATAAAACAAAACAAATTTATATTATAAAATAAAAGAAATATAAACAATAAACAATGACAACTAAAAAAGCATTTACTTACGTTTAATTTTCTTAGCATATCTGCGACAATATTTAATGCAGTTGTGCGGGAACTTGCAGTCATTGCATTGCCATTAAGCAGATTATCAGGATCTTGATAGCTTTTTCCTAAACAAAACAATTTAACATACAAATTAGTTAACAAGCAACCATACTTTTAAGGATAAATTAATTATTTTAAGTGGTAATACTATTAATACATAAATCAAGTCTACGGACGTACACAAAACACATTTAACAAATCGTTTTAAAATTCTGAAATTAAATTAATAATAATAAAGATAGTAGAAAAATGATGTATGTAAATGATTTTTATTCAAAAATGGAATGCAAAATGTTTTTTTATATAATTTTACAAAAATAATACATTTTGTTTACACAATTACATCAATTATAACTTAATTTAAAAATATGCAATTTAAAAAAATACTTCATTAAAAAATAATAATTAAAATAAAAATAAAATTAGAATTAGAATTTTTAATTTCAATACTACAATAGAAAAAATACTTAAAATAGGAAATAAATGCTTTTATGTAGAAAATGCATAGTTTTTTTTATGAATGTACTATAAATGTGTTTCTGTGTAGTCCTGCATAATGCAAGTAAGTTTTAACAAATCATTATAAAATGATAAGATCATATTAAAGAATCTATAATTAATTTACTTGCTAGTAGACTTTGATTTAGATAATTTAAAAGCACGTTTGGTTTGTTTAAGTGAAGATAAAATCTTACTTTTTAACGATTGCTGTTCATTCAATTCGTTAATGTTCATTGAGCCACTGTTAATTGTAGTAGATGATTCATAACTTTTCAGATCACTTAAACTTACAGCTATACCATTTGGTATACTTCCAGTTGATGTATTAATTGCATTGTTAACCGCGCCATTTGATTGTGAATATCGTCCTTTAATATTTAACTCTTGTTTTAAGTCTAAAATAAGAGATATATTATTTCTTGATTCAAAAAATAAAATAATAAACTTTAAAATACCTCTCGTTTCATCCATTAGTCTTTGCAGTTTTTCTTGTAACATTTCTTTTTCATCCACTTCCAATTCGAGCAGTGCATTCTTTTCGTAGGCTTTATCGAGCATTTTTTCGAAATCTACAATGCTCTCGTTTAAAATACGATGAGCACGTTCTAAATCATCGTTCTTTTGTTCCAACTGCCTTAAATATTCTTTCATGGAATCACGTTCTTTCTTCACAGACTCTAATTGCTTTTCTACATTTGCAAAATCTAAATTATGAGAATCAATTTTGAGCTGAAAGAAAAGATGAATTTTATATATTAAAATTAATAGATATATTATATATTTATAATTTTTTAATTATTAAGCATTTTATTATATGTTTGACTAATAGTCTCGATATAAATATTTAACAATAATATTACTTCTTAGATTTTAAAAATAATTCGAACTGATCGAAACATTTGTTGTTGTTGTGCGGATCTGTTTGTAAAATCGCTTTTGAGGGTGGCGAAAACACTTGGTCGTCGGAATTGACGAGTGGGTCCGGGACGTTCTTGGAACCGATCGATGTATTTCGAGGAATTCGATGTTTGAATCAGATGTTCAAGCACACGTATTTGAACATCAAATGTTCGAAAATACTCGAACAATATCTGTGTTGCACTTGAGCATTAATGTATCTACAGCCGGTAACATGTACTTTGTACATGTGTACTTTCATATTATTTGTAAAAACATAAGATAATATGAATTTCCATTATATTTATCATAATAATAATAATTTATTTTTATTTATAATATTTGTAGACACATAACAAAACATTTGTTGTAGATAAAAAACAAATCTAAAATAAAATAAAACAAAGCGGAATTGCTACTCGGACTGCTTGAAGATGTTGAATTTTCGAACAGTCAAAATATTGAATCCAAATCTTCAAATTCGAATATACTCGAGCTGTTGAATCACTATCTTCTTAGGTAAAAATTCAACTTGAATCTTAAACTCAAAATAAACAAAATCAATTTTATTGATTTGAAAATATATTTGAAATCTGACGATATTCAGATTATCCTGAGGATTATACTATATGAACTGTTATTTCAACTATTTGATCTACAATTTCATTATTAGGAATTATTTTATTCTTATATATTATTTGGGAAAGTTTATTATTTAAATAAATTAAATTCTTGAATTGAATGATTTCAAAATTCTGTTACAGAACATAAATTTAGTTTTAATTTGGGAATACTCGAAACAACTGTATGGTCAGCCAAAAATTCAATTAATTAAAATAATGAAAAATTTTTGTTGTAAGTCAGTTCAGTTCGAAATCTCTCTTTAACATAAATTTAGCAAATATTAAATACATGAATAAATATTGCAGTATAACCACATATGTCAAGTATAAAATAGTACTCCAACACGAACTATTCGAAAACTTCGAACAATTTAATGTCTAAGTGTGCTTCTGCTCAAGCACAGCGATTCACTCGAAAATGTTTAAAAACTAGTTCGAACTATACCTGTTTAGCATAGAGCAAAACGAAAATAAGATAAAATAAACTTGTTATTCGAGTAGCTCGCACATCTTTAAACAGGTTCGATACTTTCGATTATTTGATATGCTTAATCCATATGTTCGAATTCGAATACACTTAAACACTTCAAGCAGTAGTATAAAATTTCATGTACTATTACTGACAGATGACTGAATTTAACTTAACTAAATATTGGCAAATATGCTAACATATTTAAATCATCTTTAAATTAAGAACTAGCTTTAAAATTTTTGTGAAAGATGGGATACAAAAGGTTTTTGGGATTTTCATAAAAAAATGGACAGGAAATTAATGAAATCAAGTTTGAACACACGAACCTTCTAATCTCATCACGTTATATTTATACACGATTTTCACTATGTCTTGGATTAATATATTACGTTTAATATATATTCTATTAAACAAGAAAATAATGTTTTGATATAACAGTACACATATTATGTAAGACGTGCTTTTTTTAAATCTTTGTTCGAAAAACCGATCCAATGAATTACTCAGCTATGATATCATAGTACAATTTTAAAACGATTGCAAATTAATTATGGAATTGTCACGTATATTTTGTGTACAATAATAGCTTAATTTTTCTACTATAGAAAGATATAATTTAAATTCATTGTAGTTCATATAAAATTGTATTAAGCTAAATTAAAAACTAGAAATATAGCTTGAATGAAATCCACGACAATAAACCGCTTAATGAAACACTTGAATTCTTTAAATTATTGATACGGTTCAATTGTGGGGTTATCTAGCTTTTCTACTATTGATTCCGGGCAGAATTTACATGCTACAGTTCGAATTTCGAAAAAGCAACACACATTTGTCGACAATTCCTCTTCAATACTGATTTAATTTGGAACCGATTTACAGACCTGGTTAAAATACACTGAGAGTTTGATATTATTAGTTCAATGCGTCTAATCGCTAACTGCACACGTACTGGTTGATTTAGATGCTGGTATTATACATTCGTTACATCTGATAGATAACTACTAAGTTGATCGATTAGTAATGGTTATAAAAATAAAATTAATTTATAATAATAAGGACGGTAGAAGGAAAAATGTGGAAAAGGAATAGCGTGAATCAAAGTGTGCCTTTATATGAGAGAAGTAACTACTTAAAACATGGATATATCCTGACTGTAATTGAGCTAGGACAGTTTTTCTGCACATGGAAGCCAACGCTCTTCTCTGAGGATATTAGACGGAATCCTGTTTTAAGCTGTGTTTCTATGCAACCGTGGTCTACAAGAAGAAACTGCAACAATGTAGAGGGATGTTAGTTCTCGTTTACATTTGATATCACTGTCAGTATCAGCTCTATTGCAATTAGTGTCGATGTAAACATGATGCGAAAAAATGGACTAATAATGGTACGTACGTAGTTAGGTAAAGAAGACGGCTATTAAACCTCTTCAATTCTCAAATGATCCTATTATTTAATAACTGACCAGACGTATGGCAGAACATGAGTGTTTGGCTGATATTTATTTTAGAGCAGTTGTGGAGTAAGTTAAGGATTAGTGTGTCTATATGTTTAAGTCCGGATTAATATAAAGCTGGACAGTAACTCAGCGAATTTTCAGTTATCCGTTGAACTTATTTATGTTAGAAAGAATTCTAGCATTTATGTGAGATAAATGTGAAAATTTCACTGATTATAATGTAAGAGATGTTTTGAAGCAAGTTAATGTTAGTATATTGTTATCTTTTAATGTGGGTCATGGACAATAATACAACAAATGTTTAGGTATCTTTTCTTCGAATATCAAAATACACAAATTAAAGGAGTTTAGGTAACCAAACATCTGCTTTAATAGAGCACTGGTCTATAGCACGGCATATAGCCGAACTAGGTCTACCCTGTAGTATTTTCTGGAGTACATGTCTAGGAAAACACACCAGAACACCTATTGTATCTATATCCGGGCTTGTCTAGAACCAAACTTAAGCTTTTGGTTGCCCCCTTCTTTAAAACACTCGGCAATATTTCCAGTATTAACATTGAGCAGATGCTTCCGGGTAGTTCTAACATAACCATTCTTCTATACATTATTGCGAGAAATTATGAAATCTCTTAGCTAATTGAGGAGCATTTGTGTCTCCCTCCACTTTATCTAAGCTAGGTAATCCATTTTAACTAGTGTTCTATTGAAATATAACTTATTAGGTTATTATCACGGAAGTATATTTTAAGGCCGAACATCTCTTTTTTATGGCATAATATTTCATATTTTAAGAGAGTGCAATTCTAAATTAATGTGAGCATCCACAGAATTAAACAATTTTTTTATCTTTGATTTATCTTTGATTTGATTTTGCTTAATGTTTACTTAACATGTGTAAGGTTGGAGTGGCGGCATTGTGTACTAAGAAAGTTCACTTGAACGTTGGTTCGTACATAGACAAGAAAGTCAGTAAACGATCAACCCTGAAGAAGATAACGACTCCCCCATTAGGTAAAGGTAAACCAACCTGATAATTTTATATATACTAAACATAATATAAGAAGTTATTGTAATATATTTAATAAATTTGTAAGGCAAAAAAAAAGAATATATATATATTTATATATATAATCATTAGCATAAAAACAATCCTCCCCTTTATATGGCATAAAATTAATTGTTTATAAATAATTAAAATTTTTGCTTTTAAATTTGACTTAATTTTATAATTTACCTTTAATGATTCATTTTCTTTTTCTAATACATTAACTTTCATTTTGAGATCTTTAATGACAGCCAGTTTTTGATCGATTGTAGCATCCATTTCCGCTTCCATTTGTCTTGATTGTTCTACATATTCATCGTATTCTTGTTTTACATCTGTCCACCTTTATTTTTAATAAAATTAAATAAAATGCATTACTGATGTGTGTGATTTCAAATAATCGGAAGTAAATACTCTTTGTGATAAAGTTTAGCACGTTCTTTCCAATATCGGCATTCATCTTCGACGCTGTTGAACATAGGTGGAGACTCCATATCTGTGGCTTTCAATTCAAGTTTTTCTGCTACTGCTGCTGCTTACAATGTTGTTACTGTTGACTGTCTGTCTGTCACACCGATTTCGATTTTTTTTCGTTTATTTTCCTTTTGTACAATTCTCGCGTAATAAAATTGATAAAAAGATTCGTTTCGTATCTCTTGTCACTGTATTTAACTCTGTGCTCTGTTTTCTGATTTAACTTTCTGCAAAGTGAGAAAAATCAATTAACTCGTAATTATTGTTAATAATCACATTAGAAATAATTCATTTTGTTTTTGTTTAGCTGCTTTCACATGTGCTTTCTAATTTTGTTGGCTTTAATACAAATTTTATAATATTTTTCCTTCAGCGACTTACGGCGGCGTCTCCACTGATAACGAAATCAATTTTTTTTACTCTACATTTTATTTATAATTTTCAATTTAGACACTAACACAAAACTATTGCGTTTCCGTAAATAAGCAGTTAAGGTGAACAACACGCCAAACAACAATGCAAAACACTTCAACAACCCTAGCCAGCGCTCAAGGCAAAATGAAATCATCGTCTTTTTATAAAGCATAACAAAAACAATTTTCAAATATTTTTTAATAATATTTTCCCCAAAGAAAGAATTGTTTAATGTTGCACTTACAATTTAAAAAATATCTTTATATAATATATGTACAAACTGTAAACTTTCTTAAAAGTATAAAAATGAGCAAGAATTATTTTGTTTGGGAAAAAGCCAATACTATAATATTGCCAACTAATCAGAAAAACCAGTATAATTATTCGTTGGCATTTAAATTGCGGGTACGTTCAGTCAGTGCACGCGAAAATTATTGAAATATTTTTTTGCAATAACAAAATATATTGCACACATATTTAATACAATAATTTAAAACAATACTATAAATAAAGTATTTTATAAATAAATATAATACGACTTAACTTTCATATACCATAAATCTCTATATTTATATATTTATTATACCTATATTAATAATATATAAGTTTATTATATATTGATAGCGCCTATTATTTATTGATTTATTATTTATTATTTCTAAAATGTCTATCGCTGACAGTAGACAAGTTTCTATTGCTGATGGACAAAACCGAATTTTAGTGTTGTGAACTGCAAACTAATAGAATATTATAAATAACATTTGAGCAGTAGAAGTTTGTCGATTAGATCATAAAATGCTGTTGAAACGCTTTATAAATTCACTTTAACATATAACTTTAATACAATTTTTGTTTATTCAATTTAGTAATAATTCATTTATATTTTTATTTTCTTACTCGCTTAATACTATGTTCAGACAGCCAAATTTCCTTAATTTCATTAAAATGAAATTAAATTAATTTGGAAAGAGTTCGAGTGTTAAAAATTACATGCTCAAAACACTTTATGTACCTGCGAAATTTTAAAAATTACTTATTGTAACTATAAAGTGTGGCATTCAGTAGTTTTATTCGCATTAGTGGATTTCTGATATGTGTGTCATTATTTTTAACTCTATTTTAAAGTTATAACAGTCACAATTTTTTTCTCTATATTCAAATTTTAAAATTTGCACTACTTTCAAAATATTTTCCCGGTTTTATGAAAGTCAACTTCACTGACATTTATTGAAAACAAAATATTACTTTTTCGTAATTTTAACTCTATATATTGCTTAAATTTATCTTACGCATTGCAGCCTTCGTTTTAACAAAAAATTAAGGCCGTTTTTCTAAATTTTGTTCTAGCCTTAAAACTGAATTTTTCTATAATCAACTTAATTTTGCTGAAACGAAAATGAAATTAAGATATTTACGAAATTAAAGTGTGTCTGAACATAGTGTAATATATTTGCTTTCAAATGTGATATGTTATATATTGAGAATAGTGGCTGTTGTATTTTTATTTTGTTGTCTTTTTTGCTTATGTGTGTTTTTTCAAATATTTTTAACAAAAAAATCTCCTTGTAGTTAACTTCACCATGTGTACAAACTTTTTTTTAATTTTTTAAATATATTTGTGGACGTATAATGTAAGTATTTGTATAAAATTATAAAACAATTATATTAATAGTGTTTTTTGTAGGACAAAATTAGTCAGCAATAAAAAACAAAAGTCACACAAATGAATTTGCGTAAATTTTCACATGCAATAATCATTTTATGCGAATGGAAACGACGAAATCTTAATATGATTAACAAAAGTTATGTCAGCTGCACTGGGAATACAGTCTTAGTACTTTTACTTTACTTTTAAAAGTTTCTTAATGTTAGCAAGACCTGAACGTACATTTTTATTGTAATGTTCAAATTATAGTATGTATATAATTAACACTTTGTTCACACTTACATTTATCAAACCTGCTGAGCTTATTTTCATATGATAAATAGCATATGTTGCTGCGTAAGTACAATAGTTTGAGAAAGAAATTTTGACTCTTAAGTAACGACATGACACTAAAGTGAAATTTGTTTAAATTTTATGCGACATTTTAGTCACCTAAACTTCGAACAGTTAAGTCGTTTTCGATTGCTAAATCTGGATTCAATCTAGATTTACTGCCAAATTTTGTTGCCCAATTGTTCATTTTTAAAATTTCGTCAAATGAGAATGTATTTGCAGCCAAATATACTATTATATTTGTTTTATTCGTTTTTCGCATAACGACAGCTAAATACCATATATAAATAAACAAATTAGGGACATTAGGAAACAAATCATAGTTGTTTATCTGTAAAATCATATGAAACAGCTGCAAGTTTCAGAGTAATCTTGCTATTCTGGTAAAATATGTTGAGTGCTATAAATTAATTTCGAGTGTTGCGCATTTGGCTCGAGATTTGCCAATCGAAAATGAAAATTACACTAAAATTGAATCTCGATAAAAAATGTTACCCCAGATTTACCAATCAAAAGACATTCGCTCAGGTGTGAATTATAAAACTGGTTGTAAACATAACAAAAATCGCATTCAAATTAAAAATTTGCACTGAACATATAAAACTGCAATTTTCACGTACAGGTGGCGATCGCAACACTTAATTTTGACATTTGTTTATATCTTTATAAAATCGGCGAAACATCTCAATTCTATTTTTCTGCTGAAAACTAGAAATTAGGTGCGGAATTAATACCATAAATAAAAGGTAATTTAATAATTTTTAAAGGATGGAATATAACAGAAATGGAATTTAATTAATTGTGTGTAATTGGAGCGCAAAATATTTACATGAAGTGTTTATTTTACACATGAAAAATGATTTATAATTTCATCATAATTGATAGGAAACAAAGAAAATAGAAAACTAATGACAAACGAAAAAGGGTGAATATCAAAAATAAAAACAATACGAACAATATGCAGACGCATAAAAGGAACGTAAAATGCAACAAAGGGAAAATGAAAATTTACTTTTCGTTTTGCAAGAAAATTTGTGCAGTAAGTTTCGAGCAAAAGGGAGGGTTTCGCTCTAATGACGAGTTGTTTTCCTCGAGTGCAAGGCAAATAGAAATGTTTTGATTTAAGCTCATTTAAATGCTATTAAATTGTTAAATATATATTTTAAGAAATATAATAGAATAAAAAAGTTAAACGCATTTTCTGGATAAATAATTTTTGTACCATTTGCAGCTGTGATTCTCTTTAATTTCCAAAATAGCCGGAAGATTGCAAGGAAGATAAAAACAAACGAAAAACGATTAGAAAAGAAAGAGGAACATTAAACGCTCCAGTGCAATTGCGGGATTTTGTAGAATTTTTTAAATTAATTTTAGTTTTGGTTTTGTTTAATTTGTGTCGTTTAAATTGAGTTACAATGGCTGATCCAGAAAAACAAAGTTTATTGCAAAATGAAGATACAACGACCGGGTACGCGTCGGCTAGTGGCGGAGAAAGTGTAATTGGAGCCAACGATTCCAATGAAGGTGAGTGCTGCTTACTATATAAACTAATAATTATTTTAATGTTAAATAAATTTAATTAATGATTGTAATGGTGGTATATTGTTAAAAAAGAAATAAGAAATAAATTTCAATGTGACGCATTTTTGTCATGCAATTGTGCGTCTGCAGCCAAAGTGCCA